GAAAATAAAAGAGGGGCTAAAACAGATCCTTGGGGAACCCCGGTATTGACTTGAAGGAAAGGTGAGTTATAGTTTTCCACAGACACACATTGGGTGCGTTCTGAAAGGTAATTATCAAACCAGCTTAAGGCTGCTTCACTGAGGCCTATAGACTGAAGTCTCTGTAACAATAATTTGTGATCTACGGAGTCGAAAGCTTTTGATAGATCGACGAATAATGCGGCGCATGACTTTTTACTATCTAAAGAGGATATAATATCATTAGAGACTAGCATGGCTGCAGTAATGGTGCTATGTCCTGTTCTGAATCCTGACTGGTAATCATGAAGAATATTGTTAGCCGATAGAAATTGTTTTAATTGATTATTTATCAGTGATTCAAAAACTTTCGCTAAAACTGGCAATCTGGAAATAGGACGGTAGTTAGTTGGATCTAAGGGGTCTCCCCCTTTAAATAGTGGGGTAACCATTGCCGATTTCCACGATTTAGGTATAACATTAGAAACGAGACTTAAGTTAAATATAGAGGCTATAGGGTCTGATACGAGATTAGCGGCCACTTTTAGAAAATAAGGCTCGATTTGATCGAATCCTGCCTTTTTTTTATGTCTAAATTCGTTAGGGCATTGTGAACCTGCGCAATGGTTATGGGTGCAAAATTAAAAGATTCTGACGGGCAATATTGAATAGGATCAGCATTTAAGATATTAACACCCGAATTAGTGGCATCGGACGTGGAACCTACTGAAGTAAAATGATTATTAAAAGTATCTGCTATAACTTCTCTGCCCTTGACTACAGTGTGATTAACATTTAAATGCTCTGGAAATTTAAATAGTTGATTTGGTACTGAAGTTGACTTAATTAATTTCCAGAACTTTGTGGGATTATTTATATTTTCATTTATGGTAGACAAATAATAATCACGTTTTGCACTTTTGATTAATTTTGTGCATTTATTTCGTAACGCTCTGTAGGTGATCCAGTCTAGGGGATTGTTAGATTTCTTGGCCTTAACCCAAGCAGCATTTCTCTGTTTTATGGAGGTGGAAACGGTGTCTTTAAACCAAGGGTTATTTTTTCCACTTATCCTAAATCTTTTGACTGGAGAATGTTTATCACAAATTGATAGAAATATCAATTTAAAATAATCCCAAGCTAATGTAACATCAGGCATACTGGAAACTGCACCCAGATCACTATAGTAGAGATCGCGTAGAAAAGCTTGTTCATTAAAATGCTTAAAAGATCTTTTAAAAATATAACGTGGTGGATTTCTAGGAATTTTACAATTTCTCACACAGACAACTGCACAGTGATCACTAATGTCATTGCAAAAGACTCCAGATGCTGAATATCTGTGGGGAGCATTAGTTAAAATTAAGTCCAATAAGGTAGATCTGTCCAAATCCTTATGATTCATCCGAGTTTTTGAATTAATCAGCTGTAACAAACAATGAGAGTCACAGGTCTCCTTGAAGAGATCAGAAGATGGCGACAGCCAATCCCAGTTGAAGTCGCCAAGAATAATCAATTCATATTTAGTCCAATCATGAAAAAAGTCCGCAAGTAAAGTACATACCTCGCTTGAAGACGATGAAGGCGGGCGATAACAACCAACCACAATAATATCGGAGCCGGCAGCGAGATTTAATTTGAGTGCTAGAAGTTCGAGACCATTCGGTTTGCTGGTTGTCTGTATGCAGGAACAGTTTAAAGTGGATCTCACATAAATCGCAATTCCTCCTCCTTTTTTTACACGATCAGATCTGAAGACTGTATATGAATCGATATTGATCATATCATTTGTGACTGAGGCATTTAGCCATGTCTCAGTTATGACCATTATGTCTGCACCAGTCGTGTCGGCCCAAACTCGTAGAGAGTCCATTTTATTAATCAGACTACGCACATTCAAATGAAAGAAACGTAATCCATGAGAAGATTTGAGATCGTTGGGCATTTGTAATTGGGATAATGTTGGACCAGGGTTGGGGTGAACATTACCCGATAATAGAAGCAAGATGAAAAATAGCCATGATCTCCTTGCTTGGCCATCTGTGGTCGAACCTTTACAGCAGGTAGGCATTGCTCTGGCTGAATATCTCCCGTTCTCATGCAGCCACAAGCAGCGTAATCCACGCGGGACATCACCGGAAGCGAGTACCGAATCACGAGAAAGTTCTCTCCAAGATATCCGAAGCATCGGGCCATGCTCATTAGGCGATACCGGAGCAGTCCCGGCATACAAAAGATACCATTGCGGCCATAGACAGAGCGCAGTCACCTCGAGCTCACTCTGGCCACTTTCAGCGGTGTCCTCGACGCCTAAAGGTGCATCGATCCCCGATTTCCTCGAGGTCATGCAGCAGCACAGAAGAAGCACAAAGAGGGGTAAACTCATATTTAAGCGTTATCTGGCCGCGTGCATCAAGAAAAATAGAAAAATAAATAAAATAAATAAATATATATTCAAATAAGTAGCCTATGACTCTTTGATTAAACAGTGGAGGACAAAGGAAGAGAGCAAACACACACATCTACACACATGCCGCCATCTTGAATATATTTTCAAACTAATTAATCCGCAACTGTGAAATATGTATGATAAAATGTATACTTTAGTATATACAAAGAAAGATTACATTTGAAATATACTTAAAATTTTAATTGTTGTTGCAATTGTAACCTTTTTATTAAAAAATATATGTAGGCTACATATAAATAAATCTTAGGTAAATCTTAAAAGCTCAATATAAGCCTCCTCTTTAAATTATTTGTATTGTGTTTTATTAGTGACACATATGGGATATATTCCCAAACTTTCTGTAAAAACAGTATGATAATTAACTGCACAATTACTAGAAATTTTTACATTTGATATTATACAATTTGCAAGCACAATTTGCAAAATAAATAAATAATTGGAACTGTGAACCAATTTTGTATATATATATATATATATATATATATATATATATATATATTGTCATTCTTGTGGCTCAGTGACACACCTGAATGAAAGGGTCATTAGTATGCAGCCCCATTATGCGCTCATTATGCGGGCCCATTGTCTTCTCAGGTGTGAATCACAGCAGGTCACACCCCTGCGCATATTGCCTTTCCAAACAAAAAGTGTCATTTTTAAATTTAAACCAATCTATTGTTTTATGTGAATGATAAGGCAGGATGATTTTCAGATCATTTTGAAGAAAAAACTCTAGGCGACAACATCCATTAGTCAAAAGTCTTGTGGACACATATTTAGTATGTGTTTTGTGGCCTTATTTCAGAAACTTTAAGTTTTAGTTTTTTCAATAACCACGCATAAACAATATTCTCTCAAAAATACAAACATGTACATACATGTTGGTAACACATTATGGTAGCCCTGTTTGTGCTAAATAGAGTGAAATTACACCTTTGCCAGTAATATGTTTATAAGCAACTGAAGAAAGCACAAATGTCAGAGTATGTCAAAACATCTCAAGGACCCCAAAAACACCTTGGACCCCAGAGGGTTAAGTCTAATAACTTTTGAATCATAATGGGTAGAAACAAAATTCTTTTTTCCTCTGATTCCTGATTCCACCTACTGGTCCGGAGATATGAAAAATTGCTATTTTCGCTCATAACTTCTGAACGGTTTGTCCAAAAATCATAAAAGGGGTCTCGTTAGATTCAGGGCGTCATGCCGAGTCGACTGATAGCCAATTTTCCCAGATCGGCCATTTTGGCTGTCGGACATTTTGAATTATGTGCTAAAATGCTGTATTTTTTTAACACATTAACGAATTGTTACGAAACTCGGTATGGGTCATCAGTACGATGCCCTGAAGGAGCCTGAGAAGTTTCGAAACAGCGCCACCTAGTGGTAAAATTTATTTCTCAAATGCTTATAACTCTGGCTGTGGTTGACTTATTTTCACGGGAGTCATCTCGTTGAGGTCTTGAATGCTTGCCGAGTCCACAGATACCAAACATGCTAGGTTTTGACTTACGGTTTGTGTAGCGTTGTGATTTAGCGCTTAACCCTCTGGGGTCTGAGGTGTTTTTGGGGTCCTTGAGATGTTTTGACATGCCCTGACATTTGTGCTTATTTCAGCTACTTAAAACATACCATTTGCCAACATATAAATTTGCTGTATTCAGCACAAACTCTGCTACAATAATATGTGAGCAAAATGGATGTACATGTTTGCATTTTATAGAAAAAAAATATTATGCGTGGTTAGTACGTTTTGGGGGAAAAAATGTCACCGCAATAAGGCCATTTAACACATGCTGAATAGTTGTCCACAAGACTTTTGAGTTACTATTCTTGTAGGGTAGAATTTTTACTTCAAAATGAAGTGAAAATCATTCTGACCACTCTTTCACAAACAACAATATAATGATTTAAATTTCTTACGTCAGTTTTTGGTCAGCACTGCTGTATGTGTGGGAGTGTGAATGGCCATGAATAATGTGATTTACACCTGGGAAGACTAAAGGCACTCCCCCAATGGCCCAACAAGGTGCTGTGAGGCAGCCTGAACTAAGAATGATTCACTGATGAATAAAAAGTTAAAAAGAACAGCATTTATTAAAAATAGAAATCTTTCCTAAGAACGTAAAGACTTAAAGTCATTACTATCACTTAACACATCCTTTCAAAAAACAAACATAAAAAGACCAAACTTGTTTTTTTATATATATAAAAAAAGTGGACTGCCTGTTGCTTGCCTGCTTGTTTGCCTTGGCTCTCTTCGGAACTGGTGGATGGACGTGTTCATTGTCACATCTGTTATAAAAAAGAAAAAAGCATGAGCATGCTGATAACACAATCAAATAAACTGTATTATTATCATTATCAATCACTAATTGCCATGGATATTATTATTTTTTTTGTAATTTCACACAAGAATAGGTGTATATACTTTTATATACTTTTACATTATGACGATGTAAACACAATTAGGCTAAATTTCATCTGTAAAATATTACGTCTGTGCACTTACTCAGTATGATTCTCGATCGCACTGAGAACTGAACGACACCTGCGTGTCCCTCTGCGAGGTGCTGGCGAAGGAGAGCATGATGCAGACACATTCCTAAAAAAAAAAAAATAAAAAAAAATAAAAACTGTTAGCATACATTATCCAAAGTAAACTGATGGACAATTAATGGGTATGGATGCACAATGTATGTATATATCTGTTGATGGGCCATGGCCCATGGGACGGATAAATATCTGTTGATGGCCCATATAGACCGCACGCATTTAGTGATAGGACTACACGCAATGAACGGATCGTTCGCGAACGACACATCACTACATTTCAAACATTTACACCTGTATTCAGTTATTTACGCATGATATAGTGTCATAACCAAAACTGAACATTTAATTATATAAAAAATGTATTGTATTTAGACCTCTTTTACCAGAGCCTGAAATGTATTTCTCGTTATATAACCTAAGCAGTTATTCGCAAACAAAATAGGCTACATTACGCATAAGGCACTATTTTAGCATAAGTAGTGTCATAGGCTAACCAAAACTCAACATTTTTATATAAAAAATATATTGTATTTAGACAGTATCACATATTTTACCGGAGGCTGAAATATATTTCACTAAATCAATAGGCTATACCTAAACATGCAGTTATTCGCAAACAAAATACATAACGCATAAGGCAGTATTTTAGCATGATAATCAGTGTCATAAGCTAATCAAAACTATATATTTAATATACAAATATGTTTAGAGAGTAATATCACATTTAAAAAGTTTACACGAGCGAATGTTAGGGATATTGTGAGGCAATCTTTTCTGTAAGATGTCAAAAGCTAGGCAAAATATAGTCTGAAAATTCATTTGAGCTCTATACGATCAGAAAAGAAATTATAAAACACTAAACAACTTACTCCGAACTTGTAGGCCTATCCTCGGCGCGGGATCAATTCGTTCTTCAAAATGCAGCCGTTCCTTGTCCGAGTTATAATCTTCCTCTGAGGAAAAGTGAATTCTTCCTCGCTGTCCAGAATCATCTGAAGGGCCTTTTTGTCGGAATACCGTGCCATCCTCAAAACGCAATGAATCTATCAGTGAAGAAACTTCGTGTTTTTATGCCATTGATCGCTGGGCGTGTGCTATGCATAACGTTAGATCACCTATTTACCATGTGAAAAGCGATGGGGGCGTGGCGGCCTCAGCTAATTAAAGATAATGAACTGAGAACGAAAAAACTGTACCTCTCCTTGGTTTCAAACGGATTACATAAACTGGAAATATTTATTTTTTTAATAAATTACTTCATTTAAAAGAAGAGAATACAAGCTTTAAAAAGACACATGTCTCGTGTCTCTGTGGCAAGTATTGACTTAGTTACAGTTCATTTTTCGGACGCGTTTCAGAATGGACTTCACTGACAGAGAGAACGCAGAACGCGCATCATGTTTATTTTTCTTTATTAGGCGAAAAGCACAACACTTTGTTTTTATTGTGAGGTTCCACAAAAAAATACAAACTTAACAGGATCGAATGATGTACAACACTTATATGTAAGATCAAAATCAACAGAGTAATTTGAGTCTCTTTTGCACTGATAAGGAAAAAAGTGAGCTGGTATCGCCGGCGATACCGCCGACCCCAGAGGGTTAAAAAACATTTGCCGATATCTTCGAAACCGCTAGTCCGATCGAGACGAAACCACCGTCAGAAGTTTGGTAACATAGGTTGATAGCTATATGCTAATACCCAAATGCCAAAATATTGATAGTAAGGGGTAGTAAAATTCAATCAAAGTCACGTGTCAGTCATTTTTTACGTGTTTTTTCATATAAATGTCTATAACTCTGAAGCGAATTGAGATATTTTCACCAAATTTGGCACACACATGTATGGGCTCATTCTGAGGACACATGAAAAAAATGGTGGGATTTTGCCTCTTGGTGGCGCTATAATAGAACAAAACATGAAATTCCCATTGACTACAATACAGTTTTGTGATGTAAAATGCTGTACTTAACAAATGCATTGCTGTAACATTATGAAACTCAGAATTTGCCACCAGCACTATCCCCTGAAGGTAGTTCAAATTAAATTTCCAAAAATGCTAATAACTTTTGAAAAAATATGCCTATTGTAATGACATGATACCAAGATTGACGTATTTGGACGAATTTCCTGTCCGCCATCTTTATTTACTTTCAAAACCTTCTTTTTCGAACTTCTCCTAGACCATTCGTCCGATTTTCACCAAAATCGATTCATATCATCTCCAGACCATGCGGACTAAAAGTTATGAATTTCGTGACGATAGACAAAACCGTTTTCGTATACCGCAGCAGCAACGTTGAGGCATGCTGCTAAAATGACTATTAAGTCTTTATCTCTGCAATGCCTTGACATTTTGACCCCAAACTTTGTATGTGTCATTGTCACCTCACTCTGACCACATCAAATTGATTTCAGAACTGCGCCACCTATTTGTCGAAAGTGATAAACCATTAAATCATCTTAAAAGTTACTGTATATATGATTTTTCAGCCATTTTGCCAAAATTCTCTTAAAATATCTTTAATTGCTCCTTGCTGCAGTTGGTCTGCCACTCCCACCCATGATGGCATCTGTTGCCGCTTCTTGCGCTTGGCCCCGGTAATGGCGGCTTGCAGCTATATTTTATTACGTGTTCGCTATTCAAACGCAAATATTGAGACAAGCCATGCCAACGCCCACATCAGCTGGATAAAACATCCAGTTTAATAAGAATATTGTACTTTACCTCGTCTTGCTGCGCTGTGAGGAATAATACTATCGTAATAATCCTGGAAAAGTTACCTCAGAAGTGCTGGTAGTTTCATTTCGAGGAGCACAGATTCAGCTGATGTAGTAAGTTATTTATTCTTAAGTGCTTTGTTCTAATCGCGTTATTGAATAGTGTCTGTAAACTCCACAAAGACTGTTTAAAGGGTAACTAAACCCTAAACCAGTGTTTCTCAAACTTTTTCTGCCATTCCCCACTTTGAAGGTAGGGAAGGGTTTGTGCCCCACCTGTCCCCATGCAATTGCCCCCAAAAAATGTTAATAAACTAGACTTTAAGTTAAAATGTATTTTATTAACATGACATTTTAAAAACATAAACATGACAGTAGATAAAAATAATAATGCATTGTGTTTGTATTTTGCCTCTGATAACATCAAATTCAGAAACGGAGAAAACAAAAGTGTGGTCTAGTTGTACTTTGCTTTATTTTGTCACTTCGCAAACTGCATGCAAAAAGAACAAACAAAATTGAAAAAGAATAATAATAATCTCAGGGTTTTTCCTGGCTCAAAACGAGGCGGAGGTGGTAAAATCCTAGTAGGCCTACGTATTTTAGGTATTTTTTGTTTTAAAGATAAATGAATAAATCTGGTGCACTTTGAAAGTTCAAAATTAAGTGATTAACTATTTAATGTCTGCAATGAGCCTGTTTTGTAGTAGGCTACACATATTTTCTGAGCCAGAGACGGAGAGCGCTCACCGCTTGACATCACAACTATTCAGTGTTTTCAACCACATAATGTTTATTTTAGGTTTCAGACATTTAAATTCACATAACTAAGTTACTAAAAAAGAAATACATTTAGAGTTTGTCCAATACACACTTATGTCTATGGAAGCGGCAATAATATTTATTATTAAATATTTATTTCCATTATAATTAGACGACACGTATTATTCATATCAAATACACATTGTGTAAGTAACTTTCAAGTTTACTCTATGCTTTACCCAGTTCACTGGCCACTTACGTTACTTTCATGTATTTCGGGAGACGTGGATAAATTGACGTAAACTTGTTAAATCCAACGGATCCGAATCTCTAAAATGCGGCATAAACTAACGCCCATCGCATATAGCTCAACTAAGGTGTTTAAACAACAAAACACATCCACTTGCTCATATTTGACAATCAGAATATCAGATATTTCCTGCCTTAGCCAACAAATGTGTGAAATAAAAGCAGATAATCAGTCATTCAGCGCTTGTGGCTGTGGTGTGACAAGCAATGACGTGTCACCATGGAAACCATAATAAAGGTTCTAAACCTTTCGATCTAAATAACGGGCGCCTCTAAAAACTTCTAAACTTGCATGTGAAAAGGTTAAGTAAGGCTTACATTTAAATGTGTCGTTGTTTTGAGTTTATGCTCAATAAATAAAGGAATTAATAGAGATGGGCACAAACATTACCACATTTTCTCCTGTTTGTCGCACCCCACTTGTCATGTTTCTATTCCCCACCAGTGGGGCGCGCCCCACACTTTAAGAAACGCTGCCCTAAACCAACTTTTTTTAGTTAATGATCTGTAAGAATGGGGCTTTATTAGTGCTGGTCATTGATTCGAGTAACTTTTTTGACATTTGGGTATAAAGTGTTTTAATTCTACAATATATGGTGTAAAAACGTCTGAGTGCTGCCCTCTTCAGTTTGAACGGTGGCTACTGCAGTTGAATTTTCCTATTGGATGTTTGCTGTGCTTTGTGACGTAAGCGGTGAGAGCTGACGTAAGCAGGTTCCAGCTCACCACGCCCTTGGTACGAGCTTACCACGCCATTGGCAGTATAAAAACCACCTTGTTTCGTCAAAACCACTGCGAGTCAAGAGTTGGAATTACGAGTATTGAAAACGATCAGGATAGAGTATTTTAGCATCTATTTAGCATAGCATTTATATAGTTATTTAGATTAATTTGTCTAGCCTAGTTAGTTAGTTAGTAGCATAGTACAGTTAGGATAGCTTCAAGTTAGCATAGATTTATCTGTATTTAGTACAGTGGTCAGGATGGTAATGGAATAGAGGTGGAAATGGGCTTCTCCACACAGCTCGCGCCGAAGAGCGACGCAGTGCCAAACACTGCTCCTCCTGCATGGACTCCACCGCGCAGCGGCGTCTTGATGTGAGTGATCATGTATATTTTAATCACAATTTATGGTTAGACTAAAGTTAATCCTCTGGGGTCGACAAACGCGCCGGCGCATTTTGCTGGATTTTTTCACATAGCGGCAAAATATCAATATGAATATATGCCTACATGCCTACAGAGAGCGCGCGCTATTGACATCAACTCGACAAAACTCATCAGATGCCGATCGCGATGCGGGAGTTAAGACCGCACTTTGCGCCAGCGGCTTGAATTGATATGGCCCTGTGTCCACAGACAATTCACAACTCCTCCACTTCAGGTGAAGGTGGGGGAGAAAAGTCCTCGACTTCAAATGACCGCTCTGTTGCAAAGCTACTTGCGTCACTCCAGTCACTCTCCATTTTAGAGTCTGACAGCAGCTGTCACTGCGGGTCTCAGGTGCACGCAAAAGTCTCAGATGCACGCAAAAGTTGTTTTAGTGTTTAGTTACCCTTTAAAGACCTTCAACTTACCAGCAAGTGTTGACAGAAATGTGTGCTACATCCGTGCAGTGTTGCGTTTCACTCTGCCTCTGTTTGTTTCCATTGACAATGGGCTCAAATAAGCTGGTAAGGCGTTGCCATATGGCAACAATTAATTTCTACTCATTTCCTTGTTATTCAGGAAAAAAAATACATATTGCACTATGGGAATTAAAAGGGCAGGCCTTAAGGTAGCCAATGATGTGCTGTTTTTAAGTCAATAGTAGCATCAGCTCTTCCATGTAATGAGAGTGATGATGAGTTAGCCAAATGATTGGGAATGATAGGAATTGAATGATAGGGATCTACTTATTTTTGGTTTGAATGAGTTCCAAGTATATAAATCTATCTTTTTTTTTTTTTTTTTTAAATGTGCAATTAAATAGAAAAGAAAATCATAATTTTTTAGAAAAATATTTTTGATATGTATGATTGAAGCTATTTCATGTAATAAAAAACTTATTTGAAAAAATATTCCATGGTTAGAACATAATGAACACCATAGAGGGCTAATTACAACAAAAACAGTACTTGCAAGAGATTATTTATCACTAAATGTATTTCAAAGATATCAAAATGAGTTTGCATTGAACAGTGGCACAAAAAATAATTATCATACATTTTTTCAATTTTTTTATTTTAACACTGAATATATTGCATTAAAAGACACAAACCAAAAATATACACTAAGTATTCCTAGTGACATTACCTAAACTTGTCAGATGTCTTAATGTTTTTAAAGGTGCTTCCTGTGCTAGATTATCCAGAGCTATTCCATGAAAGCGGAGAAAATGCCAGCCTTCCTTAGCTGTGAGGTCCTCTGCACCTTTGGCTAAATAAAAGTCTAAAGAGGGCTTGTTCCAATCCAGTACAGAGAACTGTAAACGCACACAATGCTGCTCTTTGGCCACCTATACAGTAAAAAACAAAACTGCATTTACTATTTTACATTAAAAACACACTGCTCAATAGCTGATACAACAAAGTTTGTTTAACCACAACATATGTACAATAAAATGTAATACCATGATGCAAAATGTTATCCAGATAATATAGAATTATATATAAAAAATATTTCTAAAAACTCACTTTGGCAACAGTTGCCATTAAAGCCTTTCCAATGCCTTTACCTGTAGCATAACCAGAGATGAGTGAGTCAACACACAGTTCTGCATTTTGGTTCAAACTCTGGGTCACTAAGAATATATACACACCTCTGTACTCTGTCATCACATACAGATCCTCCATATACACAGTCCTTCCTTTCCAGGTGCTGTACGTATAGAAGAAGAGAGCATAGCCAACCTTAGTGTGTCCTGTGGAAAACCAGCTACAGTAAGAATACTTGTGAAGACTATATATTAAAAAAAAATCCTAAAATGTCATTGTACTCCACTCACTCTGTGTTTATTATTAATTATTATTAGTGTAATGCATCCTGATTTAAAAAAAATTCTTTATGCTTTTACTATTCTTTTGTCTATGCTCTCATTATTCTTTAATCCCTCCCTGCTTTGAACAATGACTGAAACTTTGTATTACTGGCACTTCTCGTGTTTATTGCCTTCTTATGATTAATTGCTAGTTGTACTTGTCCTCAACTGTAAGTCCCTGCTAAATTAATAAATGTAAATGTGATGAGAGATCTTTTTTGTCTATATTGAATGCAACTAAAATATCTATTGATAAAATAACAAACATATAAACTACATTTAATGTAATAGGTTATATCAGGTAAACCAAAGATTTTAAGTTATTGTTTTCCATATATTCCTACCCTGTTTTCTCTGCACATTATGTCATTTTTGGTCTTCTAGGAGTCATTATTACCATCTTTAGACATGTGCTCCTCAGGTACCTCAGCTACAAGACACTGGTAAAAAGGATTGGGGCCAAATCCATCCCTCTCCAACTCTAAAAGAAAACAAAGAAAACCAGTAGAACCAGACTCTAATTAGTAAGCAACATGTGGCTTCATTTTGGCTGTAATAACAATAAAATAATGGGTCAGCTTTTTGAAAACCTTTATGGGATATCTTCACTTGGTCAGGCATCTTTTCATAAACAGCCAATTCCTACAATAAAACATACACAGATAATCGCAACTCATTTTGCATTCAACAATCATTGGGTGTGCATCTCAATCAGCTCCCTCATTCAGTATTCAGGGCACTTATGTCTGTCGGCCATGTCGGTCTGTTGGCTGTCTCAATCGTAAAAATCCTAGCAGTGCACTGAAACATTCGCTACCTTAAAAGTCAATGCACCGTGAAAACCAGAGAGCATCGACTTAATGGAAGTTCTGGAGTGCAAATCATAATTCACGTGAGCATAATCACTGCAACACATTATTTAATTATATTTTAGCATACACATACATCACTAGACAGGTAATGAACATAATCTAGGTAACATTTATAATTTATTTACAGTTGAAATGTTGCACACACTGTAAGACATTTCATGTTAGTTTAACTTGGAATTGGAACCTGCTGCCTTGAAAATCGAAGTTCACTCAACTTGAAGACTGCCTTTGTTTCAACTTAGAAATTAAAGTTAATGAGCTAATTAAAGGCACGCACACTATGCAAGAATTGAAACTTAATATAACAGCTTCAAAGTCATTTCGGTGGTAAACAAACTCGAATCATTCTGGTAGTAAAGTTTGGGGGGGACGCCGCTGGAAAAACCAGCAATGCAAGTTTGAGAGGAGCGCCCCCGGCAAAACTCGCGAGAATGACGACATGCTTTACGGCAACGACGTCACACACATCAACAACAACATTTTAAGCACGAAGACACTTGTGCGCATTTCAGACGTGATACTCGACGATGGAAAAAGCAAAGAAAACGCGGTCGGAAGAGACTAGGAAAAGGAAAAGAGAATCTGAGGAGTGAGAAGTTTCTCAGAATCAGAATCAGAATCCCTGAGAAGTGAGGAACCGGACAAGAGTCCCACTCGGTCGGGCTTTCACTTGTTGGCGCGAGCTAAAAAGCAGCACTGGATGCAACAGTGATGCTGACCTGGCGATCTTGTTGATGGACTAGTAAGTAAATCTTTTTGTGTGCATTTTATTTTGTGATTTCACCGGAATGAATAGAGAGTCTCTGCAACAGCGATAGATTGAAGAGCGCATCCGAGTGAAGACTGCGCGCACGCCGCCACAAGAGACACTATGTATGTATCCTTGACACTGATAGCAGCGGACACGAGCGCTCAGGTTGAGTTCAAAAACACATTTTAGCGCTAGATCTCTTATTTAAAGGCACACTATGCAAGATTTGTACCTTAATATAACAGCTTCAAAGGGGTATCAGGCCGTGAGTGCAGAGACCAGTCTATGGCAGACGCTCTGCGTGAGTGGTATTTACGACAGTAACGTTAAATACAAGTACTCCACAGCGACTCTAGGGGTCGCTGTTTGACAAAAACGGAATTCCTGCATAGTGTGCCTTTAAGTGATGATTGGTCATTATTGAAGACACCTGATGTTAACAAGCAGAATCTGTCACGGGATGGTCTAAAGTGAGACGAGGATACAATTGCAGAGTAAGGTGGTGTTTATTAAATAATAACAAAATAAAAACAAACTATAAACAAAACTACCCCATGGGGTAAAACAAGAGAAGATTCAGGCGGAAACAGGAACCACGAGGGAACAGGAAACTTGGACAACGAACCAGCACAGGACTACAAACACAGGGAGGCTAAATAGGGGAACAAACAAAGGAGGGTAACGAGAAGGGCAGGTGGGACAAATTAAACAATAATCAGATAACAAGATGGGAGGGGCTAGACAATAGACATGAGAGCACATGGCACAAAGGAAACACATGACAAGCCATGTGCTCACAATAAACAGAACTAGAACAGAAGAACATGACAAACCGGGAATTTCAGAGCTCTGTCACCAACTAAGATAAAACTAGACAGAAGTGACAGAACCCTGACAGAATCACTGAAGGAGAAAATCACAATTTTTAAGTCACCATTATGGAGATCAGTGCTAGCTTTAGTTGGGCTCTTGACCCTTACATTGATAACTTTAGATTTTGTTTGGCTGCTGAAACTGAGTGGTGAACAGCCAGATAAACACAGAGAAAAGGTGATCTGATGGTGTTGGTTGTGTTTTACCAGAATCATCATTTGAACTGAATCACTGAACTCATTTAGAGCCTAATCTCTGACCTAGATTTATATTGTTAATTACAGCATCACAGTGATTCTACAGCATAAGATCCAGAATTTTCAATTTAATCCAAAAGATTTCCTAAAAGTTGTTCTGATAAAAGAAATCTTTCTTTTAGGCACACACAGACATCTATAATCAGTGTATGAATCTCAACAATGGTGACAAACAATTAGGAAAATTATTCAATTAGGTAAAGGAAATTACTAAGACAAATCAGATCATAATGTATTTATACCACAATGCATGATGAGAGCCATGAATGAGTTTTGAATGGTGGCACCCAGAATGCACGGCAACATGCTTTTTTATTGTCACCATTGTTGAGATTTACAGGCTGATTATTGATGTCAGTGTGTCTAAATTAGGGATGTCACGGTACCAAAATTCCAGTAGTCGGTACCGATACCATTAAAATGTTACGGTTCTCGGTACCAATTTCGGTACCACAGCAAAATCAGTTTGAACTATTTTTTCTTCTATAATTTATTTAACTATTTGAAAAAAATATATATATATTCAATTCAATTCAATTACTTTATTATTTATGATGGTAAATTTATGAAAGGATTGAAGGCTACATGCTGTTTAAACAAAAATATTGATGATATTGAGAAATATTGCTTATAAAAAAAGTCAAGTGAAAAATAAGCAACCTTCTATGCACACATTATTATTATTAGTAGTAGTATCTTTAATTAATGGAGACGTAGTTAAATCTATTGTACAGTAGCCTAATATAATTATTTCTGTCAATTTCTTTAAGTTAAACCAAACTTTTATTTTGACAGTTTGCCGTGAAGACCTTTTGAGTTTCTGTGCGTGTATGATATGACGATAGTTTTTCTCAAATGAAACGGTTAAGTAAAATGCTCATGAAGTGACTCTCGGAGATGAATGGAATCATGTCATCATATCGTGAGGCAGCAGAGACTGAAAACAGCGCGAGCGTCACGTCGTGCTTCAGTGTGTGTGTGTGTGAGAGAGGTAACGTTTAATGAAACCGTGCGTCTGCGCCGTTCATTCACACAGAGACAAGCAGAACATGAAGGGTTCATATTTAAATAGTCTTTTTGCAGTGTAATATACACAGACACCACATCAGCAGCGCCGCTGGTCGCCATGTCTCAGCGCTTTCATGAAGAGGACGCAACTTCACACCCTGTCACGGAACACACACAGGAGGCTGAAAATCCAAATGCAGTAATTTTAATTTAAAGGGCAATCCAAACTCATAGTCATCCAGGCAGGGGTCAAAATCCAAAACAATCCAAACACGAACACAAGCACAAAACCAGCAACACGAAAGCAGACCAGGAAGTGGTGTGACATTATACAACGACTCCGTACACATACTAACACAGACAGGGAATATATACAAATATCTAACAAGACTAACACAGAACAGCTGGGAACAATGATTACGGGGAACAGCTGAGTGCAATGAACTGATGAGTGACAGTGACAGACAGAATGCTGGGAATTGAAGTCAAATGTGAAGGATACCGTGAGAACGAGGACCTCTAGTGATAAACAAGGGAACACCACCAAACACTGTGACACACCCTTCGTGCATGCGCATCCAGAACCGGGTTGGTACCACCGGGACTTGGTACCGTGACGTTAAAAATTTTTTAGTACCGACTTGGTACCGAAGTACCGAATATTTTGACAACACTAGTCTAAATAAGATATTTTTTCAAAGGGTTTCGATCAGAACAACTTTTAAGAAATATTTTGGTTTATATTGAAAATGCTGATAATTGTTTGCTATAAAATCACAGTGTTGCTGTAATCAACAACGTAAAGAGTCTCTAAATTAGTTTGGTGATTCAGGTCAAGTGATGATTATGTTAAAACACAACCAACACCATCAGATCACCTTTTCTCTTTTTTTATCTGGCAGCTAAACAAAATCTAAAGTTATAAATGTAAGGGTCAAGAGCCCAACTAAAGCTAGCACTGATCTCCATAATGGTGACTTAAAAATAGTGATTTTCTCCTTCAGTGATTCTGCTTGTTAACATCAGTTGTCTTCAATAATGATCAATCATCACTCAATGAATCACTTAATTAGCTCATTAACTTTAATTTCTAAGTTGAAACAAAGGCAGTCTTCAAGTTGAGTGAAATTCGATTTTTCAAGGCAGAAGGTGAACTTGAAGTTAAACTAACATGAAATCTCTTACAGTGCATGTATGTGGGTCAATGACAAATAAAGCTTCAAAAAAAGGTATTTTTTAAAAATCTTTTTAAAATTGATATAATGCATATTTTTGAGTCAGGAAAAATATGTATAAACAAGCTTCAATAGTTAACATAATTTTATTTATAAGTGAAATCTTAGCCTTAGAAAGACCCTTAGAGTGTCTACATTGCCTAACACATTATTATTTTGTGGTTGTGCATTTCATTCATATTAATTTATAATTATTGCATTCTAGTTGCCTTATATTTAGAATCTTTAGCATCTGATTGTACTTTTAAAAGATAGAAAAATAATCATACAAGTATACCAGTCAACTCAAATCAAGCCACCTTTATTATTATTTTTACAATACTGGTTGTTTGAAAGCAGCTTTACAGTGAGAACAGGAAATTAATGCAACAAAGATTGTTTTGGCTGTACAGGAAAGTCAAGAAAGTCATTGTCCAGTTTAAGTAAGTTGCGTTGATTCATTTCCATTGTAAAAATCATTAGTAAATGCATTCAATATATTGTATACAATAACTATTCATAATCTAGTTTCCAGAGATTTAAAGATTTAAGATACCAAAATATAAAATAATATTTATTATTTGACTGAAAATGAATTCAAACGAAATAGGTTTTATAGATACATCCCATTAAATTTATCAAATTATTTTAAAAAGAAATTATGCACTTGGACATAAAATACATGCACGTCGTGCAATAACAAGCCAAGTAGGCTATTTATCATAAAGTTCTTCAAATAAAATTTACAATAAAGTCAGGAAGATATTGCTGTTGTTCATAAATACCAGTTGTGATGTACAATGAGGACGTTGTCACCGGAAATAGAATCACCAGTGTCGTGAGCCAGGGTCCTTACTACTGTCCTTACCAGTGTCCGAATTCGTGTACACAATTTGTGATAGGCTATAGGCCTACAGATTCGCGACCTAGGAAGCTATAGGATCTGGATTGAGACGCACCCACTGTCTTTTAAACACACACGTAACAAACCATGCATGGTGTTTGCTCACCATAATCATGCGTTCTATATCTTTGCAGTCTTCAGGTTTGGCTGGACATATTGTAAACTCCATTTTGCACAAGTCAACTAGCGTTTTCTGGTTTCCTGCACTACCTTTGACCAGTGACTAAAAAGCCGACTGAAGGCTACACGCGTTCGTCCTACGGTTCGTCCACCAGAGAGCAGCGAGACGTGTGTAAAATGTGTTCAAGAGCGTCATATATCACAAATACTGCGCAGCCTATTGGCAACACATGTTCGAATCACATACTTTATTGTCTTCATTTTCAATAAATATTGTCTTCATCTTCATTTGATTGAATACAATAAATAATACATAATAGATAGATAGATAGATAGATAGATAGATAGATAGATAGATAGATAGATAGATAGATAGATAGATAGATAGATAGATAGATAGATAGATAGATAGATAGATAGATAGATAGATCTGTTATTTACTTTAACCTTATTCAGCCATTTGATTTGTGGCATCACTGTGTCATATGACAGCTGAAGTCATCTGTAAAGGACAGAGTCCTGGGTTGTTGGCACACAATCACGCAAAAGTTAAATATTAAGTTTTTGTTAGAGTAAATATGCTGTGATTGGAAAGTTCAAAAAGAATAGACAGCACTGAGCAATAAGAGGGGAATAATATAGGGGAATACCAATATCGGAAAATTTGTCTCCCACACCCCTTTTCCAAGTTTCTTTTTGACACAATAATGATTATAGGCTACATTTAAGTTTGCTTCCCACTATCATATGGTTTGGGAAAAAGTTGTATAGCACACAAGATGTAGCTACTAATAGCTTTTTTATTTATTCCAAAGACAAATGCTTTGGACAGAGATTGTATTTTTTTAATTTTTCAATCCCTCCCAACCCAGAACAAACTACCTTAGATGATTAAACAATAGTAATTATTTAAACAGTAATGTTAATTAATAGTACAAAAGTACAAAAGATAATGAAAATAAATAATATTAATAATAATGAGACAAAAATAAAATAAATAGGCAACAATAGTAAAATAATGACAATTTAAAAAAAAATAGTTGGATACCACAATCGACAATCAAAGAGTAACAATGATACAGCAATAGCTTTTTAATAACATTTTGCAATCCATGGAAGAAAGAAAATCTTTCTTTGAAATCCTTGAAATCCTTCAAAAAGAGTTTGAAGGAACATTAATGGCCTATTTATAAATGGGTGAACTATTGGCTACTTTAGGCTATTTCCTGGCTTAAGACTACACCTTTTTAATCTAACTGAGTAGGCAATTCAGAAAATGTGATTCAACTGACTTCAGCTGAATAATGACACTAATGTCTTTTTTTTTACTGCATGATTGAATGTTTGCACCATCCTGTTTATCACTGTAAAGCTGCATAATCTGTATAAAGCCCTATATGTAAATAAAGGTGACTTGACATTTCTAAGAATAAGATTTTTTTCATGATCAACGTAGGTTTATCACATTTCCTTCCTCAATTTAGGCATTTCTAGCATATTGTGTGCGTATTAGCAGCACGCCCACCTCACTCAGCTCATAGAAAGAGCCGCCCCATTCAGTGCAAAGACCCTCTTACACGAGCAGCTGAATCCACTGACGAAGAAGTGACGGGAGGGGATATGCTTAATAAAACAGGCGTATAGTTACTAAATTTTATGTATACGGATTTATATTTAACGTTTTATTCAGATCAATCTCAGCTTTTCATCCTTGGTTCAAATACTGCGGTGAAGAAGAAATAGGTTGAACACGCACGTATCCGCGGTAAGTGTTCTTGCTCACTTTATAGCGGTTTGTTTCCTGATCAACTTGACATATTGTGAATATCAACTCATTAACATCTGTAATATACATTTAAACCAAGACCAGGTATTAATTTAGTTTTCCTACTGAATTATTAATTCTCCATAAGGTTTTCAGAATAGACCCAGCCAGTTCTCTTTCATCATCTCGTGTTCGAGATCCACCTATGGGAAGGGCATCCGTACCTGACCTCTGCAGAAGCATCCAATTGCACCAAGTCTGGCTAGACAGACAGAAGCGCGCAGCCAATGCCAGGTAAGGCCCCGCCCCCTACCTGAAGGCATATAACGCCTGCAAGCACTGCTATTCTCCAGTTAACATTCGCTTCTCGCAATCTCTGCACATACACAGTTCGATTGGATTACACTGTTCACTTTCGTGTCTTCAGGAGGACATATCGACTGATCAGCCACCGCCAGACGTGACAGTCGTTTTTCAACCTATCAGCTGTGTTCTGCATCTGGAGCCGCCCGCGCTCTCGCCGTTCTCTCCACCTCCTCCTTCCACGGCTGCCCGCCACGGATTTTTCCGAGTTCTTCGCCGATATGTCGCTGTCTAAACCTTCCGCTTCTCCGGGGAACAGCCTATCACGCGTGTGGTGCTCTCATCGCCGCTAAGGACCTGCACTCATTCTGCGTGGTCTGCTTGGGCCTCAAAAACGCTCAAGAAGCCTTAGAGAACCCAGAGAATTGCAGTCATTGTCTTATGCTACCCAATAAGCTTTTAAGGTACCGGGGGACTCCCGGGGCATCACCTCACTTATTTGGGCTGACCAGCCCAATCCTGCTTTCCCCGAAGAGGACATCTTTGCGGGCAACCTCCCGCTCGTCGACGAACCAGCCGGTTCCGGCGACGAGGATGACACGGCCCTTCTTGGGGTCTCAGAGGACGAGGAGGCCATCCCGCCCTCTGGCGTTCCCCAGGCCATCGCCCACGCGGCTTTGCCTCAGTCCATCCTCCTGGAGGTTTGTGAGCGAGTGGCTGCTCGCCTCAACATTGAGTGGCCGGCTCCACAGAGCGCCACTGACCAGGAGAGGGACATTTACGACGGGAAAGTTCTGGGACCCCCTCCCGGCCCGAGAAAACAACTCTTCCCCATCCTTCCAGCGTGCGTGAAGCACATGAGGCACAACTGGAGCGACCCGTTCGACTTCAAACACGGTCTCACGAGCCTTGAGGTTAAGGATATGGCGGCCCTTGGCATGGGTGACCCCCCCGCTATCGAGCCTTCCATCGCCAGGCACCTTAACCCCGCCCAGGGAGGGCTGCTCGCTCCCCCTAAACCGGTCTTGCCCAACAAGATGGACCATTTTTCTGCCTCAGTTCACCAGGCCGCATACAAGTCATCGGCCTTGGCTGTCAGGGCCCCGAACGTCTCTTCCCTCCTCACGGAAAAAGGAACACCTTCTCTGCCCTTGTGGAAGGAGAACCTCACGGTGAACGACCTCGTCCTCCGTAACGCTCGGTAGGCCGTCCAAGCCTGCGGGCGCTCTATGGCGCTGTCTGTTGTGGGAGAGCGCGCACTCTGGCTTAACTTGTCGGGCCTCCCTGACAGTGAGAAGAGGCGCATCGCGGGCGCGTCGGTGGAGCCCGGCCGGGCTCTCTTTGGCCCTGCCGTCGCATTAATGCAACAACGGTGTGACAACAAAAAGAAGGAAGACGAGGGCTTCAAGTTATGCCTGCCTAGGAAGGCGGCCCCACACCAGGCGCCCCCTGCACGTTTGCCTAACCCACCTGCCATGGGACGACATTTCCATCAGGGCAAGGAAAGGCCCCGCAACAAACCCCCTGCCCCACGGCAGAATAACCCACCACCTGCTAAGCACTGGGGAAAATCGACTCCCGCCGCGGCTGCGGCTGGAAGACCATCTAACGTTACCCCCACCGACTCGAAACGCAAGCGGCCTGCCTGATGTTCGGCCGATGGGGGAATCGAGTCCGCATTCACGGGCCACGAGCCCATGGGCCACTCTCTTCTTGTTTCAGAACCCCTGTCCAAAAGACGCAGGTTTTCCCGCGGATGGGTCGGTTCCCCCCTGCTCGAGGCTGCCCAGCCCAAGTGTTCAGTGGACGTTGTGTGTTCCCCCCCCCGCCCCCACGTTCAGGGGATCTGTCATGAGGCAAAGTTCAAAAGCAGTGTCACCACACCGCATACACTCTGTTCCCCTCACCCAGTTATTAAAGGCTTCGGCCCCAGTGTTTCCCCAACACAAAACACACACAAAACAAAAAAACACATTAAAACAAACGAATCAACTGAATTCGTTACGGAGAGAGGATCTCTCTCCACAGAGAGAATTAATCTCCCTGCAGAGAGAGAAAATCTCTCTGAACCCCTGCATGTCGCCCCTAGTTTGTCCACAGGGGGGCGCCATTGCATCATAAATGAGCCAGCTGGGCATACACAGCGCCGCCCCGGGAACACTCGCGAGTCACGAATGGGCTTGGCAAACTGTTTCGGCTCCCGAGTGGGTGTTGCGTACAATAATGCAGGGCTACAGACTGCAGTTTGCAATGAAACCTCCTCATTTCAACAGCGTTTTCTCTTCACACATGGAAGAGAGCGCCTCACACATTCTGAAAGAGGAAATATCCTCTCTCCTAAACAAGGGAGCGATTCAGGTGCCCCCCCCCCCCCCCCCCCCCCCCCCCCCCCCCCCCAATCTGATGAATCAGGGATTTTATTCTCGTTATTTCCTGGTCCCAAAGAAGGACGGCTTTCTCCGCCCAATCTTGGACCTTCGTGTGTTGAACAAACATTTGAGGAAGTACAATTTCAGAATGTTAACTCATGGCTCGCTCGCCCGCGCCATAAAACAGAACGACTGGTTCACATCGGTCGATCTGAAAGATGCTTTTTTTCCATATAAGCATTTATCCGCCACACAGGAAGTTTCTTCGTTTCGCCTACCAGGGCACATGTTACGAATTCACAGTTCTGCCGTTTGGACTCACCCTAAGTCCTCGGTGCTTTTGTCTGTGTGCACAGGCGGGCTTAGCACCCATGAGAATGTGAGGTCTAGCCAGACTTGGTGCAATTGGATGCTTCTGCAGAGGTCAGGTGCGGATGCCCTTCCCATAAGTGGATCTCTCCACTTGATGTTTCAGAGAACCGGGGTTACGATAGTAACCTATTGGTCTGTCTGTACAATCGCACTGACACAGATGCGAAGCTGAAACGCACTGATAAACGTGACGCTGCCGCGAGGTGCATTTTTTAAACTCTTAGTTTGTACATTCCTCCCTCCAAAACAGGAGGCTCTGACTAAATAATTGGGGTTTCGAAACAGGACCTCCAAAGGACGCCCTCCAAGCAGGCTGCTTAATAAATATTTTAGTAAACAAAATAAATTAACTAATTC